CAGCCGGGGGCCCCAGGGGGGCCCCGAAAACAGACACAAGTCACAGGGGGGACTCTGGGGGCCCCCCTGTGGCCACGCCAGGGGGGCCCCCTGCCCCGCTCCGCTGCAGCTGCAGGGGGGCCCCAGTTTCTTGGGCCCCAAGAGACGCAAGGCCCCCCTAAGGGCCCACCGTGCTGCTGCAGGGGGGCCCCACTGCTGCTGCAGCGGCAGCAGCCAGCGAAGCGCCCAAGAAGCAGCTCCTGCTCCGGCAGCCTCTGCTGCACCAGCAGCTGGAGGGGCCCCCAGAGTCACTTCGTAGGGGCCCCCCAGCCTAAGGGGTACAGCAGCTCGCTGAACACGACAAGAGGCTCCTCTGAGACTTCCGTGCAGCACGAGCTGCTTGACCTCGTCTGCTGCTTCTGCTGCTGCTACTGCTGCAGGGGCTGATGCGGCACCGGCATCCGCGGCCTCTGCGGTGGCCCCAGAGGGCTGCAGCTGCTGCAGCTCCAACTGCTGTTGCTGCTGCAGGTCCTGCTGTTGCTGCTGCTGCTGCAGTTCCTGCTGCTGCTCCAGCAGCTGCAGGTGCCTCTCAACAGGGACTTGCCGGGCCGGGGGCCCTTTGAGGGGCCCCCCTGAGCCCTGGGGGGCCCCTTCTTGGGGCCTCCGCCACTGGGGACTGTGGATTTGGAATTGCTGGTCAAGAAGTGCCAGCTGCTGCGCAGTCAGGGGGGCCCCCTGGGGGCCCCTGAGGGCCCCCGGGTCCAGTACCCTCCCCGAAGAAGCCACCAGCCGCAAAGCATTCTCTCGAAGGGCCTCCATTGTAGAAGGCAGCGAATGTGCTGCTATGTAAGAGCGCAGCCACGTGGGCACTGGGGAGCTGCACAGTAACCCACACCACGCACTGCTGCTGCTGCTGCTGCTGCTGCTGCTGGGTGCGCTGCCGCTGCTGCTGCTGCTGGGTGCGCTGCTGCTAGTGGTTGTGTTGCTGTTTGTGCTGCTAGTGGTGTGCTGTGGCTGCTGCTGATGCAAACTCGGAGGGCCGC